CACCTGTGGAATTTACGTGCCGACATCTTCCAACACTGTTGCACGAGTTACAATCACTATGACATTAATAACCCATCCTGAGTTCAGGCTCACTCTCTAGCTGCACAAGTCCATTCACCCCTCGGGGACATCAATTAAATGTGCGACGACATCCTTCAAACTCAAAGTTATGTTGTATCCCTCTTCATATCAAGCAGCTCCTTTCTGTTATATCAAATCTCTTGCCGCGTAATAGCCAATACTTCATATTAAATCCGTAGACCCCAATCACCAATCACTAAAATTCCCAAATTATTCCAAACTCTCCTTAAGGTGCATAGTCATCCTACCACAAAACCCACATGCAACTCCGCCACTCTCCCACTTTGGCGGAACTCACCCCTTTAATCAACTACTCAACCTTCGCTTCTTATACCTGACCTTCTAGAAATTTTAACCACCACCTGACACTCCCCACATATCCTTCTTCATCCTTTGCTGCTCAGTTGTTGCCTTAAATAAAATCTATCTTCTTAGCACTTGAACCCACAAATTGCTACGAACTTTAAACCTTTCTGAAGATCATCTTTCTCGAGCCGTCAATATTAGAAACACCTATTCAATCCTGAACCACCACACCCCGCGATATCCGACAGTTGCTCCTCCAAATACTTTTACATAATAACATGCCCCAAAGCCAAATCATAGAAGATCATAACACCGACGAACTTAACAGATCCAATCGAGGACGACGATACCACGTCGCAGATGAAAATTCCACCACACTTGAAAACACCAAGTCTCGTTACTCTATCAGCCTAAACTTGCACGTACATAGTCTGACTGTCTTTCCTCCACTGAAAATAAAATACTAAATCTCCGAATCATGTACTGAGAGAACTCCCTTCCAAATCGTTCACTACTCCCATGCATGGACAATCATCCCACCATCACATTATTACTATGCGATAACCAATCATGAGCAATCATAGAAATCTACGCATAGCCTCAAAGCTCTTAGGAGTGCAGATACCGAGCTAAAATGATAGAATATCCTTCCACAAAGCGATGAAAATAGCCCAACCAACTGTGCCGGGAGAAACATCCCGCACCACATCTGTAGTACCATTAAAATTCTTCAATTCTTGATTTATCATAAGCGTTTCGCGTCGCGTAAGATTGAGTAGAAAGGAAACAAAGGCATAATCCTCAAAGGAATCAAATAGCATGATGAGGAATCAAGAAGGAAAGTTCTCTTAACAGTCCTGTAGCCTCTCATAGATAAGTACATACGTCTCCGTACCGATCCGCAAGACTCTACTAGACTCGCTCATGACTCATGAGACATAAGGGAACCTAGTGCTCTGATACCATGTTGTCAAGACCAAAATTCCACTAAGGGTCATGATGGCACCGGACACCGCTGTCAGACAAGCCAACCAAAATACTTAATTAAATTCTCGTTTAAATAATTTTGAAAACTATTATTTTTCCTTCAATTTTACTAGTAAAACATAATCATTTCAAATAAAATATGAATGTTAAGAAGTTAATACAAGATACCCCATAATCATCCCAGAACCCGGTGTCACAAGTGCATGATCATTTACTAGGAAATGGAATAAAATACAGTAACTGTCCAGAATAAAAAGTGGACAGAAACGAAAAACACAGAAAAATACTCTGAAGGGGACTCTGCCGGCTGCGGGTCGTCTCGATAAATGCAGCTCACCTAAGTCTCCGTATCAACCATGTCGCTATGACAATAAGACACTAGCCACACTTGAACTTGTGGAACAAAAATGCACAGAAAGTGTAGTATGAGTACGAAAACAACGTATACCCAATGAGTATCCCGTCTAATCTCGAAGAAGTAGAGACGAGAGGTCGACCTCGACACTTACTAATGGTCCAATGATAATATAGTAAAAGTGTGAGGAACTCATGGATTTCATAAAGCAAAATTTAACTCATAAAGCCGGAAAACAGGTAAACAACTTCTCAAATAATAAAGGATTTCCAAGGATTTACTTTTCATTATCTTTATCAATTTATCTCTTGCCAGGAAGGGCAATTATAAACATTTAAAATTCTCAAGCAAGCAATACAAGCATGCACATATCATGTCGAGGTCGTACGACCCGATCCAACAATATTTAAACTATGAACTGCTAGAGGGTCGAATGGTGCGAACCATAGATGCATCTATTTAATCTACCGAGGCGTTCGGCCCGTTCCGAAATTAAACACATACAGACAGTCAATCAAGAAGTCAACAGGGAGCAATTATCCAAAGAAAAGCCAATTCTCTTTTAATAATTTTATAAAATGAAGTTTAATCCTTTTAGAAATGCATTTACCAATTTGATAGGATTTAAGCAATTCAACTGTCAATAAGATTACAATTATTCCAAGTATAGCATGCTTTTGGGTCCTAGACTACCCGAACTTAAATATAATAGTAGCTACGCACGGGCTCTCATCACCTCGCGCATATGTAGCCCCCACAAATATTAGCACAAATCTAATTAATTCACCTATGTGGATAATTCTATCTTACAAGGTTAGAAAGGAGACTCACCTTGCTCCGAAGTTCCATAACTGACATTCCACTCCCTTCCAAAGACTTAAATTGATGCACAACCCTCCAAAACTAGCCAATAATTATGCAAATCCATTAATATATGTTCAATTATTCATAATAATCTAATTTATAACAATTCCTAACCCCGATCAAAAAGTTGACAAAAACGCCCTCAGGCCCACGTGCCCGGATTCCGAAATTTTTCGAAGATAAAATTTACCCATGGCCTCACGAACTCAAATATATAATTTACTCTCAATTTTATGTCCAAAATCGTGGTAAAAATCAAAAATATAATTTTTTAGGTCTTCCACCAAAAACCCACAATTTTCACTAATTTTCATGCTCTAATCCATATATAATCCAAGTATTTAACTCAAAAAATTAGTAGAAACCACTTACCTTGACATGGATGACAAAGATGGAGCTCCAAAATCGCCCAAAGTTTGGCTCCCATGGAAAAATGGGATTGAAATGAGCTAAACCCCCATTTTAAACAACTTTACTAATTCCAACATTTCCGCACCTGCGGTCAACTAACCGCTTCTACGGTTCCGCAGGTGCGAGCTACCATCTGCTTATGCGTTCCTCCTCCTTGCCTCAGCTTCCGCATCTGCACTTCTCCTTCCGCAGGTGCAGTCATGCATCTGTGACAAATCGATCGCATCTACGGTCCCAGCCTGGCCAGCCCATTTCCGCTTCTGCGACCCAAGGGCCACTTCTGCGACTCCGCACCTATGGCCCAAGCCTCGCAGTTGCGGTTACACTAGAAGGTAGTTGTTCTCTTCCTCTTCAAATTCCAAAAAATATCCATTAACCATCTGGAATTCACTCGAGGCCCCCCGGACCCCAACCAATCATACCATCCAGTCTCAAAATATATTACGGACTTGATCGAGGCCTCAAATCATATCAAACAATGCTAAAATCATGAATAGATCTCCAATCACATCCGTTGACCTAAAATTTTGCACACCAGTCCGAAATCATCATACGAACCTTTTAGAACCTTCGAATCCTAATTCTGAGGTCGTTTACTCAAAAATCTAATCTTAGTCAATTCTTTCAACTTAAAGCTTCCGAAATGAGAATTCTCTTTCCAAATCACTCCGAACTTTTCGAAATTCAATTCCGACCATGCGTACCAGTCATAATACCTGAAGTGATGCTACTCATGGCCTCAAACTACTGAACGACATGCTAGAGCTCAAAATGACCGGTTGGGTCATACAGGAAACCTCAACCTTCGACCTCGAATCAGTCTAATCCCATCTTTGAAATCCAAAAATCCGAAATTTCTGTTCAGAATTTGTCTCCAAAATTCGAAATTCAAAAGAAGCAGAATTTTTGTATGTGAGTTTTTTCCTTATTTTTCACCCGAGAACGTGAGTATGTGTGTGTGTTTTGTGAAGAAGATGACAATGAGGGGTGCTGAAAGTTGTGAAATCAAGAAGAACGGTGGGGGGGTCTCCTATGGTTCTCGCTGGTTTTGTTGTTTTTTCCAAATTACGAAGAACGACCCTCTTCTCTTGGTTTCCATGGATAACACAAAACTCTGTGATTCTTCGACGCTTAGAATTTGTATGACCAGAGCATCATCATTTTTAAAAGTTTCATTGTTGTCCACATCAAAAAACTTAAAGGCAAACTGGAAATATGCAAAATCGCACTTAACGTCTCTCTTCCTTTGTGTAGAAGATGATATACAAGATCTTTTTTTTATCAAAATAGCTGCCTCCTCTCTTAGGTCTTAGGCCTTACTCTTAAGGTAGGGATTTTCTAGGTTAGGTCTAAGTCTAGGGTTATTATTTTTAATGTCTTTCTAGGGTTTTAGGGGTATTGAGCTAGGGTTATTATGGGCTAGGTCCGAATTGGGCAAAATTTTGGCCAAATTTACCTTTAAAATGACCCTTTAACTCTACTAATCTAAAAAAATATTATTCCTAAAATAATAACTATAAGATTGTGAAATCATTCCTAATTAATTAAAGTAAAATTAAAAATTAAAAGTGAAACTATTTTATATTAGTTAGCTAAATAAAAGGAAATATTTTTGTAATTTTTATTTTCGTGACAAAATAAAGTAAAAGAGTCAAAATTAATTAAAATAACGATATTAGACCTAAACTAAATATTTAAATGCTAAAATATGTAAAATCTTGGGGAGGGTCAAAAATTACATGTCTATACTTCCCACGGATGCAGAGAGAGTGCGGAGATTTGTTGCGGGGTTACACCTCGGTATTCGAGCTAGCATGGCGTGAGAGGTGGAGATGGGTACTGAGTATCAGCTAGTAGTAAAGATCGCTTGCAGGATTGAGGGCTATCGCCAGAGGGGTAGATAGCAGTTGTAGCAGGATAAGAGGACCCGATTCTCTAGAGAGTTTAGAGGAGCCCCAACTAGGGGCAGAAGTCACCTTGGCAAGGTCAGCCCAACATGCCCCCATATTCAGCACCACCACCGCCTCCTCGAGGTGCTCCAGCGAGGCCTTACTTAAGTACGTTGCCGGAGAGCTCTTACCGTCTACCAACTATTCAGGGTTCCTTCGGCGGGTATTCTGGTCATCAAGATTCTTCCAGTTCCTACTTCAGTGTTATGCCAGAGAGTTTTTATCGTCTACCAACCATTCAGGGTTCCTCTAGTGGATATTCAGGCTATTAGGGTGAGACATCGGGTCAGCAGTCTATGGTACCGAGAGGTTGTTTCGAGTGTGGAGATCCGATTCACATAAAGAGGACCTACCCCAAACTTCGGGGCAAAGCAGTACAGCAGGGCCATTAGCCCATGATTTCAGCACCAGCCGCCCAACCACCCAGATGTGGGGGGACAGGCTGGTAGGGGTCGTCCTAGAGGTAGAGGCCATACAGGGGGAGGTCAGTCAGCCATTGCTTAACCCGATGGAGGTCCAGCTAGATTCTATGCTATTCCGGCCAGACCAGATGTAGTTGCCTCAGATGCCGTGATCATATGTACTATTTTTGTCTGCGGTAGGGATGCTTTGGTATTGTTTGATCCAGGATCTACGTATTCACATGTGTCATCTCTGTTTGCTCATTTTTTAGATATTCCTCGAAAGCCCTTGGGTACTCATGTCTATGTGTCCACTCCCGTGGGCGATTTTGTGGTTGTGGATTGGATCTACCAGTCCCGTGTGGTTACCTTCTGTGGTTACGAGACTAGAGCGGACCTTCTGCTACTTGACAAGATCGACTTTAAGGTCATACTAGGCATGGATTGGTTATCTTCGTATCACGCCATTATTGATTGTCATGCCAAGACTGTTACTTTAGCGATGCCAAAGTTGTCGAGATTGGAGTGGAAGGGTTCCTCTATTAGTTCATCTAGTCGGGTTATCTCTTTTCTGAAGGCTCGACATCTGGTCGAGAAGGGTTGCTTGGTGTATCTAGCATATGTTCGGGACACCACCGTAGAGTCTCCGACGATTGATTCAGTTCCAATAGTTCGGGAGTTCGCCGATGTGTTTCCTTCTTACCTTCCAAGCATGCCACCAGATCGTGATATTGATTTCTGCATTGATTTGGCTCCAGGTACCCAGCCTATATCTATCCCACCACACCATTTGGCTTCGAAAGAGTTGAAAGAGTTAAACGATCAGCTTGAAGAGTTATTAACGAAGGGGTTTGTGAGACCCAGTGTATCACCTTGAGGTGCACCAGTGTTATTTGTGAAGAAGAAGGATGGGACTATGCGGATGTGCATTGATTACCGCCAGTTGAACAAAGTCACCATCAAGAACAAGTACTTGTTGCCTCGTATCGATGATTTCTAAGATCGACTCGAGATCAGGGTATCATCAGCTGAAGATTCGGGACTTAGATGCCCCGAAGACTGCCTTCCGTACTAGATATGGCCATTATGAGTTCCTGGTGATGTCTTTCAGCTTGACTAATGCTCCAACGACGTTTATGGACTTGATGAACAGAGTGTTCATGCCTTATATTGATTCCTTTGTTCTTGTCTTCATTGACGACATCTTGATCTACTCACATAGTCTGGGGGAGCACGAGCATTATTTGAGAGTAGTGATTTAAATACTGTGAGAGCAGAAGCTATATGCCAAGTTCTCCAAGTGTGAGTTTTGGCTTAAGTTAGTAGCATTCTTGGGACATGTTGTATCCGGAGAGGGTATTAAGGTGGATCCTAAGAAGATTGAGGTAGTTCAAAGTTGGCCACATCCTACTTTAGTGACTGAGATCAGGAATTTCCTGGGGTTAGCAGGTTATTATCGCCGATTTGTGAAGGGTTTTTCGTCCATTGCAGCACCTTTGACTAGATTGACCCATAAGGGTGCCCCTTTCCGTTGGTCCAATGAGTGTGAGGCAAGCTTTCAGAAGCTCAAGACAGTTTTAACCACAACACCAGTTCTTGTAATGCCTTCCGGTTCGGGGATGTATACAGTTTATTGCGATGCTTCGCGTGTTGGCCTGGGATGTGTACTGATGTAGGAGGGGAGAGTTATTGCATATGCTTCGCGTTAGCTGAAGGTTCATGAGAATAATTACCCTGTGCACGATTTGGAGTTGGTAGTGATTGTTCATGTTCTTAAGATTTGGAGGCATTACTTGTATGGGGTGTCCTGTGAGGTTTATATGGACCACTGTAGTTTGCAGCACTTGCTCAAGCAGAGGGATCTTAATTTGAGGTAGTGTAGATGGCTTAAGTTGCTGAAGGACTATGACATCACTATTTTTTATCATCCTGGCAAGGCAAATATGGTCGCAGATACCTTAAGCAGGAAAGTAGAGAGTATGGGTAGCCAGGCATTCATTTCGGCAGAGGAGAGACCATTAGCTTTGGACATTCATTCCTTATCTAATAGACTTGTGAGGCTGGACATTTCAGAGCCCAGCCGGGTCCTTGCATGTATTGTTGCTCAGTCTTCTCTATTTGGACAGATCAAGGCTCGTCAATTCGATGATCCGCATTTGGCAGTTCTCAGAGAGATGGTACTACAGGGTAGTGCCAAAGAGGTTTCTATTGGTGATGATAGTGTTCTATGACTCCAGGGTCGCCTATGTGTTCCTAATGTCGATGGCTTAAGGGAGAGGATCCTAGAGGAGGCACACAGTTCATGGTATTCCATTCATCTAGGTGCTACGAAGATGTATCGGGACCTGAAGCAACATTATTGGTGGTGGTGGATAAAGAAAGACACAGTTGAGTATGTGGCTAGATGCTTAAATTGCCAGCAGGTTAAGTATGAGCACCAAAGGCCAGGTGTCCTACTTCAGCAGATGCCTATACCTAAGTGGAAGTGGGAGCACATTACTATAGACTTCGTAATTTGGTTGCCACGGACCTTGCGAAAGTTTGATGCGGTGTGGGTCATTGTCGATAGGTTGACCAAGTCAGCACACTTTATTCCGGTTGTGACCACTTATACTTCAGAGAGGTTGGCTCAGATCTACATTCGGGAGATAGTTTGGTTGCACGGTTAGCCCGTTTCCATCATATCAGATAGAGGCCCTCAATTCACTTCACATTTCTGGAGAGTTGTTCAGAGTGACTTGGGGACCCGTGTGGAGCTCAGCACAACATTCCATCCTCAGACCGACAGACAGTCAGAGCAAACAGTTTAGATTTTAGAGGACATGCTTAGAGCATGTGTGATTGACTTTGGAGGACAGTGAGATCAGTTCTTGCCTTTGGCCGAGTTTGCTTACAATAACAATTAGCAGTCCAGTATTGAGATGACTCCATTTGAGGCTTTATATGGGCGACGATATCATTCTCCTATTGGGTGGTTTGAGCCTGGTGAGGCTAAGTTGTATGGTACAGACTTGGTGAGAGATGCCTTGGAAAAGGTAAAGTTGATTCAGGAAAGGCTTCGCACAGCTCAGTCCAGACATAAGAGTTATGCGGATCAGAAGGCGCGCAATGTATCATTCATGGTCGACGAGAAGGTCCTCTTGAAAGTCTCACCGATGAAGGGTATTATGAGATTCGGGAAGAATGGCAAGTTGAGCCCCAGGTTTATAGGCTCATTTGAGGTGTTGAGGCGAATTGGGGAGGTTTCTTACGAGCTCGCTTTACCCCCCATCTTATCAGGAGTTCATCCAGTTTTCCACGTGTCAATGCTTCGGAGGTATCACGCCGACTTGTCTCATGTGTTAGACTCCAGTACCATTCAGCTAGAAGACAGCTTGGGTTATGAGGAGGAGCCAGTTTCCATTGTTGATAGACAGGATCGCCAGTTGACATCCAAGAAGATTTCTACGGTAAAGGTCTAGTGGAGGGGCCAACCAGTCGAGGAGGCGACCTAGGAGTCTGAGTAGGGCATGCGGAGTAGATATCCACACTTATTTAGCACTTCAGGTATGAATCTAAACCCGTTCGACGACGAACGTTTGTTTAAGAGATGGAGAATGTAACGACCAGACTGGTCATTTTGATTTTTAGAACCCCATTCCCCTATATAAGACTTCATGTACTTCCTTTTACTAATTTATGACTTGCGGGAATGGTTGGTTTGGAATTTGGAAGAGTTTGGGTTGAAATCGGAACACTTGGTTCCTTAAAGTTAGCCTAAAAGGCCAAGTTTGACTATGGTCAACATTTTGAGTAAGCGACCTCAAAATCGGGATTTGACGGTTCCAATAGGTCTGTACGATGATTTCGGACTTGGGCGTATGTCCGGATCTGGTTTTGGATGACCCGGGAGCGTTTCGGCGCCTAATAGTGAAAGCTAGTTCTTGAAGAACTTTTAAGTTCCTTAAATTTGGTTTGGAAAGATTTTTGGTGATATTGAGGTTCGAATTGAATTCTGAGACCGGGAATAGTTCCGTAATGTCATTTAAGACTCGCACGCAAAATTTGGTGCCAATTTGAGTAGTCCATGTATGATTCGACGCATTCAGTGAATTTGGAAAACTTAAAGTTCAAAGTTTGATCCAATTTAGTTTTGGGGTATGATTCTTGGTTTCGTTGTTGTTTTCGCGTTCCGAGAATTCAAGCAAGTCCGTATTTGATTACAGACCTGTTAGTGCCTTTGGACGGGGTCCCGAGTGGCTCGGGTGAGTTTCGGACCCCTCGAAGCTAAATGCATCATACCAGATCTGCCCAGTTCTGTTTTCCTTCTTCGCGAATGCGAGGGAACCATCGCATTCGCATAGAAGGGATTGGGTCTGGGGAAGAAATGCTCTTCGCATTCGCTATAGCTATTCCACATTCGCAAAGGTCTGGGTCAGTGACCTTCGCGTCCGCGTAAGGCGACTCGCGTTCGTGTAGAGTAAAGTAGCTGGGCCTGGCCAGCTTTGTTCTTCTCGTTCGTGGAGCAACTATAGCGTTCGCGTAGATCTAGCCAAGCTAGCCTTCGCGTTTGCGAGTCCATGTACGCGTTCGCGATGAAGGCCCTTTAGAAGGCCTGAACCAATAGCCTTTGCAAATGCGAGGCCCCTGTCGCGTTCGCGATGAAGGGGGCAGCTAGGCAATAAGTTTAAAAATCGGGACTTAGGCTTAGTTGGGGTCATTTATTGCATCCTTAGGCGATTTGAGAACTTCCAAAGAGGGGAATTAAACCTAGAAATTGTGAGGTAAGTCGTTCCTACTTAATGTGGGTATAATAATTGGTTTTTGGGTAGATTAACACACAAAAATTAATGAAAATCATGGGATTAGAGTAAAACCTAGGGTTTTGATAAAACAAGATTTAACCACAAAATTTGTTATGAAATGGAGTAAAAATCATATATTCTCGATCCTTAGGCTATGGGTAACAACTTTCTTTAAACAAATTTGAAATCCGGGCACATGGGCCCGGGGATGAATTTTAGGAATCTTGTAAATTGGATTGGGGAATCACTCTAATGGTTGTGATATGAACTTTTAAGCCTATATTGATTAGTTTCTATGCTATTTGGATAGTTTTGGGGTTTGGCACCAAATTAAGTGTTTGGGTTTAAGCTTGGACCGGAAAGTAGGCCGTAAAGTGAGTAAGTCTCTTTTCTAACCTTGTAAGAGGAAAATTCTCCCCATAGGTGAACTTGATTAATATGTGATTAATTGTGGGGACTACGTACGCACGAGGTGACGAAAGTCCATACGTAGCTACTATTTCTGTTATTGTTCGGGTAGTTCTAGGATCACATTATGCTTTGTAGACATTACTATTGATTTATGTGTGCTAATTGTAAGGAAGTAAGTAAGTTGAAGGAAATCTAAAGATTTAAAAGACTTCAAGAGAATTATCTTAGTTTGTTGGAAAAAGGAATCAAATTAGTCTTGTATTTTAAATGATAAAAATTATGTTTTACCGTGTTGCATGAATGATTTGCGAGCGGGGTTGTGTGTTCTTACCGATTCGCATGTATGATTTGCGAGCGGGGTTGTGTTTTCTTACCGTGTCGCATGTATGATTCGCGAGCGAGGTGAATAGATGCATCTATGGTTCGGGCCGTTCGACCCTCGATAGTGCACAGTTTACTTTTATGTTGGATCGGGCCGATCGTCCTCGGTAGTAATTGTATGTGATAATGGAACTGGGACCTCTTATAATTCTTATGATTTATTGTTTGAAATGCCACTTGTCTTAGAGGAAGGAAATGCCTAGATTTATTAATTGATGAGAAGATTTTTAGTACTACCTCTTAGTTGAACCTGTTTCTATCCGTATACATTGTGAATTGAAATATTGAACTTCATATTATCACCTTATTGACCCTAGTAAGTGTCAAGTCGACCCCTCAATACTACTTTTTCGAGGTTAGACTAGATACTTACTGTGTACATATTGTTTATGTACTCATACTACACTTCTGTACTTAATTGTACAGGATCTGAGGTAGGTGCATCTGGCTACTCTACTGGTGCGCATTGTTGATATTTGGCCGAGATTCCATGGTGAGCTGCTTCTTTCCGATGTTGTTCAACAGCATGATGGAGTCTCTCCTTTGTTTTTGACTGTCTATTCTATTTCAGGCAGTAGGATAGATGTATTCTTTTGTATATTCTACTAGATGCACATATACTTGTGACACCAAGTCTTGGCACACACACTAGTGTCGCGCCCCCTTTTTCCTTGCAGAGTCCGGGTTTCGACATTCATTGGGAACAACTCATTTTCTTTTGGGAATTCGGTGTGGAATTTGAAGAATTTCCACCTAACATATTTAAGGTGCGTTAGGGAACCTAAAGCAAATAACTCATAAAACCGGTTTGCATTACCAGAGATTGGGTAAGGGCTCGAAATAACCTTGAGGGGAAGGTGTTAGGCACCCCTCACGGTCCACGGGTCCCGGCTGAACTCAAATTATGTAAATTAGTCTTATAAACAAATAAAGTGGGTTATACAGATTGCTATTACATTTAAAACAAGGGGTAAAAGAGGTCCTAGGTTTTTTAGCCTACAGGATCACATCTGTACAATACCCGATAAGCATTCCTCAACTAGAGGGGTTACACGTGGCATTAGCACACATGTCATCATATCCTTTTACTACCCAATTAC